ACTAATATTGACAGAATCAAGAACTAGCTAAAATCTGCATTTGAGATGAAAGATTTTGATTATTTTAAAATTATATAAGATTTTGATGTTTATAGAAACTTGAAAATAGAAAAAATTATGATTGAATCATGACAAGTATGTTCCACGTATGTTTAATCATCTTTAGTTAATTTAAACTAAAGTTGAGATTATTCAAAATAGAAATATAATTGCAATTTAGTAATTATTTATAATCGCCATGTTAACAATTTATGTGCTTGTTAGAATTATTTTTCATATCATGAGTTCATTATATACAAAATGGATGATAATGGTAAAATTTCATATCTTTACCTTGTTGATACAATCTATATAAAATAAATAAAGATCATTCTAGATATCTCTCATCCTTAGAGTTGTGTTTTATTCTCAAATGAACAAATTTCAAAAAAATATGAATCTTTTTATAACATATTTTAATTTTTTTGCAACTTAATGTATAATCAAAGTCATTAAGAAGAAAATGATGTAATTCATTTTTAATGAGAAAGTTGTGGGCACTCTTATATATTGGATGATATGCACAATACATAGTATTGCTTTGTTTGTGAATATGATGAAAAAGTACATGTCAAATTCAAGTAAGATGCATTGAAAACCTATACAATTGGTTTATAGAAATCCTCAATATATTATGTGTTACGGTATTTTGTTTATTGGAAAATGCAAAATTCTTGTTAGGTTTTGTTGATGCTTATCATGATTAACATCTAGGTAAAAGTAAGTTAACAATTGGATTTGTTTTCACACTTGGTGGTGAATATATTAATTAAAGACTTATTTTGCAAATGAACTCAGCTTAATCCTTAACAAAAGCTAGGTATGTAGAAGTATAAGAAGTAATAAAATAAAAACTATTTAATTGAACAAACTTATGATTGAGATGAGATTGAAATCAAAAATTGTCAACTTTGATTGTGATAGTGAGATTGTATTACATCTTGTTGTAAATCAAATACTGTACAATAATGTGAAATACATTTACATCAAATATCACTTTATAAAATATGAAATTTTTGATAAAAATACTGAACTAGTCAAAGTTGAAGGTAAATATACTCTAGTTGAAGCGTTGATCAAAGTTATTGATTGAAGAGTTTTAAAAGAAATGACGCTTCTTTTGAAATTTACCACAAGCAAAGTTTACTAGCAATTTTTATTACCTCTAAATTTGTTTACTCTATCATATTTTGACCATGATTTGGTTCTAATTAGCTATAGTTTAAAAAGTATTTATGTTAGTTTTACTCTCGAATGATATACATATTACTAATATGACTTATGGAGGTTATTGTATTCACAACATGAATTAAGAAAACGCGTGTTTATATTAACTTCAGTCAGATTAAATTTTGAGTATTTTAAACCTAGTTAGTTATCAATTTTGATATGAATTGAAAAGTAATGTGAGCTATAGCTCTTGTTAAAAAAATTTAGGTTTTAGTAAAACTTTTTTATTTTTGTGGATGTATTCTGACAATAGAAAATGATCCTTTTTGTATTAGCGTTGTTCTTGTATATTTTTCTATTTGTGGATTATTTTTTTACAAAGCATTTATATATGCAGTGTGTACGACCTTGACAATGTCGAGCACCGAGATATATTAGTTTTTTATACAATGAATAAATTTATCTGAATTTCGGAAAAATTAATCTCAAAGATCCATCAATATTATTTATTACAAGATATGTTTTGTAAGGTTTCAATGAAACTTTTTAGTTGTTATGAATATAATTTGACAATGACGAATCACACACTTTTGCATCAACATCGTGCTTGTGTATTTTTTTGATTGTGGAATTTTTGTTTCTCATTCTTACAAAGCATTCAATATATTTAATGTTTTTTATTAAATGAATAATTATTATTTTTTAATTTGACTTGAAAATTCTCAATATTTTAGAAATTATTTTTTAAATTCTTAAAAAAAATAAAATAAGTTTTGTTTGAAGAAATTATTTGCAAAATTTTATAAAAATTCTAGTATTAAAAATCATGATATCATATGTTATTTTTCAATGTCATAATTTTTGTTATCAATTATATCATCTTATATTTAAGTCCATATAGAAAAAATTATAAGAACTGATTAATGCAATAAAATTACTGTATTTGAAAAATATTTTATATGCTTATTGTTTGTTGACAACATTTAATGAGCTATTACGTGAATTTGATGTTGCAGATTGATTAATGATATGAACTAGATAAGATCATGTATGACTATTGATGTTATAAATTAATGTCATATATTGAGTTATGCTAACTTGTTCTTTTAATATTATCCAATATTATATCAAGTTAGGGGTAGATCTTTAAGAATTTTTCTCTGGTCAGTGAATGTTTGACTTGTAATATGTTTTCAACCTTTTGACCCTTTGGATCCGGTGGACTTGATCTATTTATCATTTACGATTAACTATAACTAGAAATGAGACAAGTAAAACCAAATGATTGTTCAAGTAGTGTTTGAATACATGTCAAACTTTGTAACAAAAGATTTTTGATACATGGTATTAGTTTGTAGCTTGACAAAAAATACTTGGAATGTGTTTTATAGACTTCCATTTCATGATTTGATAGCATATATTGACTATGTGTACATTTTGGTAAATCTCATAGAATCAACAATTAAACATCAAGAAATATCTTTGTTTGAAATGACGGCTTATGAAGACTTTTTTGAGGTTTAATTTTGGTTATAGGTTTGCAATTCTAATAAAATGTTGATACGATATAATGTGATAATGGAGAAAAATAGCTATTTCTTTTATCAACTTTCCATCTACATGTATTCGATGAGAACTAGGAAAAGGATAATAATGTGAAAATTATGGCATCTATCATGTATCTCTTGAATGGATTCCAAGAGTTTTATTCTAGTCATTAAGAATCAATGTATCTTGGTAGCGATATTGAATTCTTAAAAATGAGATGAAAAAGTATTGAGATGTCGTAGATTTTGGGGTAGATTGGCGCTGTTTTGAACACTTGTAGGATGAAAAGCACTCTTTTCTGTAAACGAGTGCTTTTCACCCAATTACAAAATTGAGAACTACATCGTTGGAGGATCTCATCTAATCTCATAGATCGTTTTTCATTCATGATGTCTTCATTTGAGATGAAGCATTTCAGATATGAGAATCAATAGCTTACATATCTTTTCATGAGACTATCACGGAGGTCATGCACTATATTCATTGAATACAAAAACTTCATTTGCCCTTCCTCGGTGAAGGATGTAGGCCTACGAGCGACTGTGAGAATGTCTATTAATGTCAGACCCACAATATCTTTCTGATGATTTATCTGGTTTGGTTACATGTGAGTGTGAATATATTCTATGTGGATCAAGAGCACATGTAACACATTCTTCTTTCGTGGTTAGCTGGTCTGATCCAATTAGAGATGTGATGTATACCACAGCTTGAGAGAGCGTACATTTAGTATAGAGGGAGCAAAGATACACCCTTGCATCAAGCTCATCAACGCGAGACCAGATATACATACCTGCCACATAAGAGTAATAACCCTTGTGGCAAACGTGATTACACATGTGACATGAGGCAAGGCTGCATTATATAGACATTATTATTATACATCGTTCGAGAATAGGTGTAGAGCTCCGTGCTAAACCTTGGATTAAAGGGTTTAGGTCCAAGGATCACTATTGAAGGCTTGCAGGAAGAAATGCATTTATCTCCTCCACTATGAAGATGCAGGGGACTATGGAACAGGACATGGATAGTGTTGTCGAAGATTGTGCGCAATTTCATAATATTCATAGCTATTATAAAGCTGTAATGACCTCGATGTCTAATAATTCCTGAACATTGCAACAGTGAGAGACTTCAACTTGCCTTAGCTAAACCTATACCCTAAACTGTATTGCAGGTTAAACATACTTTATTTTCTACCCCAAGTTTCGAGCAGATTTTATACTGTACATGCAGGAGACATGCGAGGAGGAGCGGGTAGCCAGATAAAGGACGACTGTACACAAGAGCTGGACTGCTTTAAGGTCGTATGGAAATGGTGCTGTTTTGAGGTTTGATGGTTTTGCCATCGTCATCTGGATCCCTTGCGTAGACCTTTGGCGATCAGAGTGGTTGACAAGGGGAAGTATTGAGGTGATGGCTACAGATGCGAAGCCAAATCGCCGCAGTTTTCTACACTTTTGATGCAGCGAATGAAATGATTCCTGTCTGGGCCAATGAATCGCATAACCACCTCCGAGCTTTGTCCGCTCCCCTCCTCCGGCTCACTAGCCCGCGAACAGATCTCATCTCGTGAGTGGTGGAAAGGGAATTGGAGCTCCATTCCAAATACAGTGAAAATTTGAACTGCGTTCCAAAAACAGAGGAGCTGGATCCGCCATGTTTTGCTACCAATGCCCGCCCTCGTCCCCCGCCCCTGTACGGTCCCTTCTTGTAATGTCATCGACCCACCAATCACCCGCCCCACGCAAAGGGCCTGAGGGGGGGATGGCGAAACCTCCTCATCTTTCTATGACATCCTCCCCCCGTCCACGTGTGGTTATCTGCGAACCGACGGCGTCGTCCGTGGACGGAGACGGAACGGAATGCGGGACTGAAAGAACGGGCAACGGTTGAAGGCAAGGCGTGGGGGACGGGCACGGGCGGGGGGGGGGGGGGGGGTGGAGAAACGGCTACCGAGGAGAGGCGGGGGAAAGGGCCTCCTAACGGCTCTCTTGCACTGGTCGGGGCCGGGCAGGGGTGGGGCCACCCGCGCTGCTCGACGGATGCGGGCCGAGGAAAAGATTGTTTTGGGGGGGGGGGGGGGGGGGGGGGGGGAGGGGGGAGAGGAGTAAAAGCACTGAAGAGTGTGAGTGAGTGGGGGTCGAGTGCACTCCAGTCCATGATAGTAGACTACCCGAGTACTAGTACCAGCTCTACGGTCCACTGTACAACAAGTTGCTACACAAAATCGATCTGATCATCGTCGACCGCGCTCTTGCAGCAGCTCGTCGCATCTGAGCAGCTCTCTCTGCTTCTTTCCTTGCTCTGCTACTTGTGCTACTACGACTAGTCGCCGGTGTAGCGGTGAGGGAGCTTGTTCCTCTGGGAGCCCTCGGGTCTGACAGTTTCCAACTATACACACACTCATACACTCGTGCGAGCTTTTGCAGACCCGCCACAGTCAGTCTCCACCTGTATGTGTACTGGTTTCTTGCCACCCCTTTTGTTTTTTCCTCTTTCGCAATCTCTGCTCTGCTCTGCTGCTGCTGCTCCACCACCCTGCGCTATCCTGCCCTGCTTTGCTATCTCGCCCAGCTCTCACCCCCGACCCCGGCTTCTCCATCTCCATTCTCCTCCTCATGGGCGAGCCCTCGGCTCCTTCTCGCCCACTGGTCGGTTCTGGCTCCCGCAAAATGATCGTCTGCGAGTAGAAGAAACGAGGGCAGCGGTTTGGCGTCTGTTTGTTTCGCCTCCGTTCTTTGCCTTCGTGCCCGTGCATTCGAGCGGGCGAGGGCATCGGTTGCGCGCAGCAGCAGCAGCAGGTGGAGCGAGGACAGAAGGAAGCGATCGAGTCCGCCCGCAGGCAGCTGCGAGCAATGTCGATGGCATTAAGTGATGACTTATGATCTCCGACGTGGAGCCATGGCGGAAAGTTCAGGAGAACAGCAATGCGGTGGTGATGGCGACGCGCTACGACGCTGCGTGTCGTGAGGGTTTTGCGGGACCGAGTCGGGGCTTTGCGGAGGAGGAGCGCGAGGAGGAAGGCCGAGGACGAGGCGCGGACGAGGACGAGGAGGCGCGAAGCAGCAGCAGCTGAGGAGAGGAGGTTCAGACGGACGGGGACAGGGGATCAGTAGACTCTCTCCTCTCTCTCCCCCCGGCGGGGAGAGGGGATGATGGCAGCAAAGGGCTTGCATTGGAAGCGGCTGGCAGCAGCTCTGATCACGGGCCTGGTGGTGCTCATTTTCGCGGCGGGAGCAGGGGCGCAATCGGGCGTGACGCAGGCCGAGGTCGACGCGCTGCTGGCAATCAAGCGGGGGTTCCAGAGTCCCAGCATCCTAGCGTCATGGAACGAGTCGGGCGCCGGGGTCTGCACCTCGTGGCTCGGGGTGGACTGTCTGAACGGCCAGGTGACGGGGCTCTCTCTGCCGGGCAAGGCGCTGCGGGGCGTGCTGGCGGAGGACATCGGAAATCTCACGAGCCTGCGGAAGCTCTCGCTGCACCACAACTTCATCGCGGGCTCGCTGCCGCAATCGCTCGGCACGCTCCCGGCCCTGAAGGGAATTGCATTGTTCCTGAACCAGTTCAGCGGTAGCATTCCGGCCAATCTCGGCAACTCGTCCGCCCTCGCGCAGCTCGACGTGAGCTACAATCTTCTGACGGGCCCCGTGCCCGCGGGGCTCACGCAGTCGCGCCGCCTCACGCTCGTCGACTTCAGCGTCAATCGCCTGTGGGGCGTGTTCCCGGGCGACTGGGCGCAGAGCTCGTCGCTCGTGGTCATCGGCCTCGCGGCCAACAGCCTGAGCGGGCCGCTCCCCGACCAGTGGGGCGCCATCAACGCGAGCTCGCTGCAGCGCCTGGACGCCAAGGACAACTTCTTCAGCGGCAGCATTCCGCGCTCGCTGGGGGCGCGCGCGGCGCTGACGGAGCTGCGCCTGAGCAACAACCAGCTGGACGGCGCCATCCCGGAGGAGCTGGGGCAGCTGGCGCAGCTCACGGTGCTGGACCTGGCGGGCAATCAGCTCACGGGCGAGGTGCCGGCGGCGCTGGGCAATCTGAGCGTGCTCGGGGAGGCCGACTTCTCGGGCAACGCGCTGAGCGGCGCCATCCCGGCGTCGCTGGGGGCGACGAATTTGTCGACGCTGCTCCTGGCCGACAACCGCCTCGAGGGGCAGCTGCCGGAGCAGATCGGCAACCTGACGCTGCTGGCGGCGCTGGACGTGAGCCGCAATAACCTCACGGGCCGTCTGCCGACCAGCGTGGGGAACCTGGTGCGGCTGCAGTCGCTGCTGCTGAACAACAATGCGCTGGACGGGAGGGTGCCCGAGGAGCTGGGCAACCTGACGAGCCTGACGGCGCTGGACATGTCCTTCAACAACTTCAGCGGGCGCCTGCCGCTGACGCTCCTGGGGCTGGTGAATTTGACGAGCTTCAATGTCTCGTACAACAATCTGAGCGGCGCCATCCCGCCCTTCGCGCAGGCTTTCAACAACAGCGCCTTCCTGGGGAACCCGGGCTTCTGCGGAGTGTCGCCGTTCCCGCTGTGTCCCGACGACACGCTGCCGGCGCCAGCGCTGGCCCCGGCGAGCGGCCCTGCGCAGTTCGTCCGCGTCTCGAGCAAACGGCGGCGCCTGAGCACGGTGGCCATCGTGTGCATCGCGCTGGGGGCTGCGCTCGCGCTGCTGGCCATTCTGTGCCTGTGCCTGCTGGTGGCGTACAAGCGCAAGAATGGCAAGAAGGGCGCGGCGGCGGCGGGGGGCGGGGGGCTGCGATCCGACAAGAATCTGGACGCGTCGCTGGACAGCGAGGAGATGGGCGGCAAGCTCGTGCACTTCGACGGGCCGCTGGCCTTCAGCGCCGATCACCTGCTGTGCGCCACGGCCGAGGTGCTGGGCAAGAGCGCCTACGGCACCGTGTACAAGGCCACTCTGGAGGACGGCAACATCATCGCCGTCAAGCGCCTGCGCGAGGGCATCGTCAAGGGCCAGAAGGAATTCGAGAGCGAGGTCGGCACCCTCGGCAAGATCCGCCACCCGAACCTGCTGGCGCTGCGCGCCTACTACTGGGGCCCCAAGGACGAGAAGCTGCTCGTCTTCGACTATATGGCCTGCGGCAGCTTGGCCGCCTTCCTGCATGGTACGTCATTCCATTCCATTCCTTCTGTCTTTCGCTCGCTCTCTCGCTCCTTCTTTCTTTGTCGTTCGGACATGTTCTGCGCGTCGCCACGTCCCCCAAATCTCGCCGACGCATTGTGCTTTTTGCTTCATCTGCGTTCTGTGTCGGAAGAAACGATCCCCCCGCGCAATGTACGTCCGCCCAGCACATGATCGGGCCAAGAACGGAGGAATCGTCGTCTTCCCTGATCAGACGAGGGACGCCATTCGGTTTCGATTTCCGGTTCCACGAAGGAAGGTCCCTGTGTGCTCGGTTGGGTCCGAGAAGTAGAATTGTGATGTACGAGGCCTCAGATGAAAGACGAAGGATGAGGATGGAGAAGCATTCGTTGGGAGCTGACCATGTTGGAATTTGGTGTGTTTGTTGGGTTTTGCGCAGCTCGAGGACCGGAGACGCCGTTGACATGGGAGACGAGAATGAAGATCTCGATGGGCGCGGCCCGAGGGCTCGGATTCCTGCACGAGAGCGAGAACATCATCCACGGCAACCTGACGGCCAGCAACATTCTTCTGGACGGGCGAATGAACGCCAGAATCAGCGACTACGGACTGGCGCGGCTGATGACCCCGCAGGCGATGTCGGGTCTGATGGCCACAGCAGGAACTCTGGGCTACCGAGCGCCCGAGCTGGTGAAAACGAAGAAAGCCACCTCGAAATCTGACGTGTACAGTTTCGGCATCGTGCTGCTCGAGCTGCTGACGGGCAAAGCGCCGGTCGAGCAATCGTCGTCCGACAGCGGCATGGACCTGGCCGAGTGGGTCTCGTCGGTGGTCAAGGAGGAATGGACTTCGGAGGTCTTCGACGTGGAGATCATCAAGGGAGCTGCCCCGCACCAAGAGGAAGAAATGATGAACACTCTGCAGCTCGCCTTGGTCTGTGTACATACTGCCCCGAGCTCGAGACCGGAGATGGAAGATGTGGTGCGGCAGCTCGAGGAAATCAGACCCGATCTCCGCTCGTCTCCGGAATCGGAACTAGCATCCGGCCCTGACACGAAAAAATGACCTTCGGCATCGGGATCGGGATCGGGAATCGGAACGAAGGAAGGAACGAGGAAGACGAAATGCAGAGCAGCAGCGAAGAGATTCTTGCAGAACATTGTTTTGTAGTTGTACCAATTACAGGCTTTATTTCTTTGTGGTGGATGGCCGATCTTCCGTCGATGTGAATAAGCCTTTCTTATTGTAGCCATTCTTTCTTGTAGCAAGCAGCATCACCCGATTGTTTAGATAGATTTTAATTTATCACAGAGTAGGATCACGATTCTTGGACGATCAAGTCAAAACAGTCACCATTTGTAGCCCGGTCTCCAGCATCAACGATGATAGGTAGTGACTGCTTCTTCTTCATGTAATCCAGACCTGCAACCAACGGCTCGCAGCGATGTGTGATTGTGTGTCAGTGAATCTTATCTGTTCATTGGATCGCGTGTTCAGTCGATCTTTTCTCACCTTGTCTGCAATTGTCGATTCCGCTCGAACCCGATTTCTGAATGTGCTTATGTCGTAGCTTATGTCGAACCCGCTGATCCGACATGAACGACATGCCAGACGAGGCCGAGCTGGGCCTCGTCTGGTATTTTCTACTCTACTCTCTTCTACTACCCTCGGGGGAACTGTACGGCGTCGAGCTGGGCCGGGGTGTCCCAGACGTTGACTGGCCCGCCCCAGTCCAGTAAGCTCTTCTCGTCCTCTGCCCGCGCCGTGCTGGCGCCTCGCAACTCTGGAGCAATGGATTAACTTCCCTACCTACCCCCCTACCACTTCCCTCTCGCCGAGGATGGTCTTCATTTATGGCACTCTCTCGATCTTGTTCTGGTAACTGCGACGGAGGCGAGAAGGAGAGTATACACACACATTCCCGCCGTCTCCATTACTTCCTTGTACTTCGAGAGAAGTAGTAGTATGTACACATATATACTTGCCCTCAGGTGGAAGCGAACTGAACCCCTCGCCATTATGGTGAACTAAACCTTCCTTGCGTCGTCAGCGTGTGCACGATGCATATTACAGTCGACACCCAAATTGACCGATCTGTCCAATTGTTCTTCTCGAAGCAGAGCAGCTGGTGGGGGCGAGAATCCACAACAAGGAGAAGGAGCGTAGACGAGGGAAGGGATCTGCTGACGCAAGCGCCATCCTCCCAAGAGCACTGTACCGCAGGCCAATTATCACCACTGCCATTCCATGCCATGCCAGCGAGCTTGTCCCGGAGCCGAAGCTGTACGCTGCAGCCAGATAAAGTCCATGGCCACCACCCGACCCTCGCCTCGCTCACCTCTTCTCGCACTGGCCCTCACCCGCACGCCCCCAGCCCCTCCAGCTGGTGCTGGTGGTGGTCGTCTTCGTGAGAGCTAGTGGGATGGTGGCGCATGCAGTTTAAACCCCCTACTCGAGTGGCTCCGCTACATCATAATTAATGGCCGTGTCCTGTCAAGACAGCCAGCCAGCAATCAACACGGCTGAGGAATCCGATGCTCGCCTCGCCCGGCGCCTCCACTGCACACTCTCTACAGCGGCGGGCCGGCCTCTTCATTCTCCTTCTCCTTCTCCTTCTCTTCCTTCCTTCCTTCCTTCCTTCACCTTCTGGCGAGATCCCGTCCCCATCCCCGGGGCTCGGGAGGAGCTCGCTCTCTCACGCTCGCGCACTTGGAAGGCTTCGAAGGTCGGCATGGCGTCGCCGCAGAGGGAATCTCCCGAGAACGAAGAAGATTTTATTAACTAGCCGACAAGTCCAGCAGCACCTCGCAGAGCCTGCCCCTCGCTCCGCCTGACTCGCCCTCTGGTCTCGTCGAACCAGCGCGTTGCCTCGGCTGGCATTCTCGCAATTCTCGCAATTCTCCTCCCGGTCGTCGTTCGCCTGGATTTAATGGAGTCTGCCGAGCGGAGGGAATCGCTGAACCACCTTCGGGCCCTTCACTCCGCTGTTACCGTTGCATGAACACGGCATCCATTACGCTGCGCTCGAAGCGGGCGCATCCGCCGAATTCTTGCCCGTTAGCGCGAGGCAGCATTCGTTGCTGGTGGGAGAACGATCCCGTGCCGACTCGATCGTTGGTGCCTGCCAGAGTCGATCTTCCTCTGACACATGACTGCGAGAATATTCAGCCAATTTCTCTTCAGCAGTCTCCGGGACGGGCGGGGCTGTTCGTTTTCTCGGATGAACGAAGGCATTGTCCTCCTGACGGCCGAAGCGAGCTCTTCGTGGACACCACTGCCGCGTTTACAACAGAGGATCTCGTCTATGGCTCGAGATCGTGCGTTCCCTGCAGCTCGCCACTACCGGCGAGCGTTATGAATGTCGCCCACCACGACACTACTACCATGGTGCCTCTTGCCACAGCGCAAACACTTCGGAAAGAGGGACGGTCGGTGGAATCTGGCTCTCTCTCCCTCTCTCTCTCTGCCCCGAGAGCGAGTGTCATGACACGCTGAATAAGACAGGGCGGATCATTGCGCTTCACAACAGCCCAGCCCACCACGAAATGACTCAGATGATCAATGAACCGGCGACAGAAGACAAGAGCGTACAGCACACGACAACATTAATTCCCCGAACCGAGCAGTGCACTGGAGGTGCCATGGGGCACGAGAATGGAGGGATCCATGACTGGAGCAGGCCAGGCCGGGGAAGTGCCTGTGTGAAATTCTCGGTGACAGACGTGAGGAAACCTAGTAATATAGCGAAAACGATGGGAAGTCTGAGTCTCCATAGACGGAGAGGATGGGCGTAGGAAGATGGAGCGAGAAAGGCACAGCGCGGAAATTCACACACACAGAGTCACAACCTGCCCTTGATTGCGCGATTAAACCTCCAGAACGAAAGAGACCGACCGACCGATCGATCAAACCATCAATGTGGTCATTCACTAGGACGAAAGATGCGAGCGAGCGATCGAAGCAACGGCAAATGCTCGGGCCGTAAATGCGAGGCACGGGACTTACTGCTGAAGCAGCAAAGCGTCAAAAGGAGCAGCAATTACTTGAACGAAACCGGGCGTTTTGGGGCTCATCAAGGGGATCATTACGCACTCCCTTTTTCAGACCGGAGCGCCCTCTCTTTCCAACGAGCACATTTGCCACCCCCGCCAGAGCGATGCCGATCGAATTCAATGCTGGCCGAATGTGTCAGGCTCCGAGAGCTGTAAAGCAGTCGACCCCGACGACGCCCCGACGACGACGAGCACCTCGTCGGCCCGACGTGAGTTGCGGTGGACCAGTGCCCTACCCCGACCCCAGGTTATCGTTATGGCGGGCCCCGCCGCCGGGCCCCCGGTCCTCCGGTGTAGTGTTGGTTTAACCTGAGTTGATGTTCCGCTTGCCTCCAGGTTGACCTCGGGTCTGTGTCAGCAGCCGGTTGTTCTCTTTATGACATGGCTCTTGTGCAGGTTCGCGTGAGTTCACTGACGCCCACCTTTTCCAGTTCATCGCCAGTGATGTTTGGTCGTTCAACGCTTTATGATTTTTCCCCTCGGCATTTTAGCAGTTCCATCGGCATCGAAGTGAAGTGATGCTCGAAATGAACTCGTCCCTAAAGTGTTGCAATTCTTTATTGTTGCAACTTTAAAAGGCAAGATGCAAGCCTTCCTATTTATAACATTTTTCCGATGAAAATTTTCAAAATATGAACTTTGTTGAAATATTTGTGATAGTTATAAGGATAGGTGGATAGTTGTAACGGATCACGTCGTTTATTAAAAGGTACTAACAACTTTATTGAGAATTTACAGAACACTCGTAAATACATCATCCGAGATTGTCTAGTTTTCACTACTCCTATTCAGTATCCTGTGAGGGGCGACCGAAGATCTCTTCTTGTCACGAGTGTTCTTTGATATCGAATTCTTCAATGGATGCCCATCCATTAAAGGTTCTACACTTTAAGTGGACATGAACAATGAAAATCCCCTTCTTGGTGTCTCGCGAAGAAATTAACCGAAACGAAAGAATGACTCACATATTTGGTTAAAATACCATCTTTGACGGTACCCTTGGGTGTTGTAGGGCAGTTAAGGTTTAGTGCGTAATTTTTTGGAACCTGTTAGAAGAGAACTAAGAAATCGCTTCCTCCGTTAAATCTTTGTATTCAGGAAACTTTTGAGTGTTCTTGATAGTAAATTCAAAGCGTTGCATTTTTCACTGGCAATGGAAACAAGTTTCTCAACTGGAATTTCTTATTTCAGAATAGATGTAGGTTTTACATGAATTAGATGTTACAAAGTACAAAACGTGTAGAAACTAGAATAATTCTAAACACATATGCAAGAGAGCTGTAGCACAAGGATACATGGTTCGCCACTGGCGGGCTAGAACCTTGAGGTCTTGAAGGTTGTACTGAAACCTAAAAATGTTCGAGGAGAGTTATGGCTTCTCTCCCTAAATAGTGATCACCAGAAACCCTAATAAACTCGAAACACCCTACACTTAACTCTAACTAAGGTTAATTTGACTAGAATTTAGTTCAGACTTGAAAATAGTAATAAAGCAAGAGAAAATATTAAAAATATATTATATATATAAACCATTTGAATTTTTAAAAAAAAAAGTAAAAAAAATAAATTGTTCTTTTTGCTTGTAAAAATTTATTATCAATTAAATGGATTTTTTTTTCAAATCTTTCTCAATATCATATTGCAAATATTAGTTTGAATACAAGTTAGTATTTTAGGACAGATTTTTCTAGCACATTAATTATGCGAAAGTTGTGATTACAAAAAATATTGCACATATATGAAAAAATGGCTAAATATTAGAAACATCCAAGACTAAAAGAATGAAAAAAAATACAATGATATAATGAATTGAAAGTTGAGGTAAAAGATAATCGAATAGAGATCTTCATCCGAGAGAAAACTCTAATGAGTGAGACGAACTTGATTGCTTAGACAGCAGGCTAATATAGTTATTTCTTTGATTTTATTTGAAGTTATTTAGGTCATCAAACTAACATGTGTGTAGGTTAACCAAGGTAGATTTACGTATTAGAAACACAGGACATTGTATCTTTCACACTATCATGATTGTCGCCATTGGAGTTACACATGAGTGATATGAGTACTTGAGTGTTATCGGAGTGGTGGCGTTGTTGCATACCTCTTTTATAAGAAATTGGAGTGACATAAGTAAGGCGTTCCACTATATAAAGTGATATTACATTGTCATCACATCACTTCAAGGAGCCATAGGTAATTGGAGGAACATAATTAAGCTGTTCCACTATGTAAGTGGTAACCCTCTGTCATCACATCACTTTAAGGAGCCATGAATTCGATATCCACCGGTACTAGTGCTGGAAACACTGTTTATGAGAGCTTTTCGACGGTTGTCCTTCACTAATAGTGTGGTACACTTTATCTTTCACACATTAGAATAGCTTTTTCCGATCTGTTTTGACAAATTTGCATTACTTTTTACATTGGTGTAAGTGTCATACTACAGTAGTCAGTTTGACCCAAGATATAACCGTCCAAATTTTTGTCTCACATGTCAAACAATTGACAATTCAGCTTTGTCTCATCCATTGAGACAAAGTGAAGGTCAGATCTTATAATTCTCAAGATAAGATGCCATTTAAAAGGTATCAAAGTTAAAAATATCAACGATACATTGGACACAGATGGAGGTGATGTTTTCAGGATAAAATCCCATTTCTGTTCAAAGAAAAGAAGAAAATCTAGTTTTGATAACAATGAGTTCTGGAAGTTTGAGAGTGAAGAAAGGTACTTATATCAAATTTATACTGCGCTGATTATAGACCACAATGTGTTATTATCACACATTGTACCGTGGATCACGGTCGGGTTGACCTAGAATGATATTTCTACATTGATTCTCTTCATATAACAGTACCTTTGAAAAATCAAACTGCATTAACTTTTGCATTGATATATTTTCTTACGTCAATTCTTGATTGGATTATCTACGCATCTCTTGGAAAAACTTCTCTGTGTTAAATATACTCTTATTATTGAAGAGAAAACATCATGCAACAAAAAGAAAATAGGGAAAAAATTAGCGGAAGTATTTAGACATAGGAGCCAAACTGCCCTAGATCACGTGCGTGACCATGCATGATCGACCCGAAGAGATCTTGTACGATTAGTGCACGGTCATAGTTGGATGGCGATAACACCATCGCCAATACTGACCTTCACATACCCTCATCCCTACAGACCCTCCTGTTTATTCTATTCCCTATCTGGTGGTATGTGGTCAGTCGCCAAGGCTAACTCTCAGAGCCTAACAAAACTATAATAACCAATATAGCGACAAGACTGATTGAACTTTAGACTTAGCTCTCTGTCGAAACTCAACAACATCCGCTAAGAGTCAGTTTGGCAAAATTTTAACTACACATAACATTGCCTAAAGTCACCTGTAGCTAAGATATCGCCGAAAGTCAAGTAACTCCTATGTCCTCCTACACTCCTCCCTTGAAGCGATGTTGTCATGCGGCTACTGCAAATCTTCTAGTCAATAAGAAAATACTCATGCTACATACAACTATCTTATTTATATTATTTCTGTAGGTTTGAGTCTGTCTATATGAATTTTTTTCCTACTTTGTGTATGTCAATCCATCATAATTGTCAATCTTCATTTTATGATACTAAATAATATATGAATTGATCCATGTTTGGTACCCTTTTAGAGCTACACTACTCTAATAGCTTCTGTTTATCAAAGTGCCTCTGTTATAGATCAAAAGTTGATGGTGTTTTAATAGAGATCATGATTATGTACATCTTTACTCTTTGTGTTGAGATTTATCAACAACAAATACTCATCCTACTTAATCTTCAAATATCTTCTCTCTTCTCCATCTCTATTGGAATTTCTTTTTCATGCCACGTCCTTAAAACCGTAATGATTGATGTCAATTATGAAATGACATTAAACATGATATAAATGGTACTAGGAACACAATTATACATATAATTTGTAAGAATGAAAATTTTATTTCAAATTCTATATAATCTTTCAATGATAAATTTTTTTCTTTTTAATATCTATCTTTTTTCAACAGTTTTTTAAATATGAAATCACCTGGTGAAATGTGAACTAAAATGTGATAATATCCTTGAGTGTGTCAAGTCCTAACCATAATTCTAGTAAGTATCTTTAACAACAACAATTTTGCTCACAACTTAGCATTTTATAAGTACTGAGCCGTAGTAGAAGTTAATTCAAGACTTGATTTAAATTTTATTAGATTTACCTTTGATTGGTTCTACTCTTTGTACAAAATTTTATTTCCAAAAATGTGCTTAATTATTTGGTAATAAACTATCTGTCCATCTGTTTTTATTTGATTATTATATATACATGCAACTTGAAATCATTTACTAACGTTACTCAATAATGAATCTTATCTTATCTTATAATATATCTTGTTGTATTTTGAAAATTATCCTTTATGTCAGATCTATATTAATTAATCCTTGAAATCAAGGTCATATTATTTTACAAATAACATAAAAATAAGATACTTTTTGAAGATTCATGCTATTTCATAGATGATTTGAGTAAAATTTAGAGTTTTTGCATGCCCACTTTCATCTTTCTGTTTCAAAATGTAGAATTAACATATCAATTAGATTGGATGTGTTTATTGATAGATCAATATTTGCTGCATAGAAATCTGTCAATGTTTGTCATGCAATATTTTCTATTCACATGTGAACAGTAAAAGAACGTCCTTATGCCTTAAACCTTCATAAGATCTTGACATTTAAAAAAATTATTCATGCCTTTTTCTATCAAAAAAAATGTTCATTTGAAGTTTCTTATATATTTCAATTGATATTAGTAAACTTACTTAGATACTATAAAATAATATCGAAAGTAACTTCGCAAAGGTTAAAAATCTTCTAAAAATTCTCAGTTTCTTCTTTATTTAGAAATATCGGAATTATCTCCAAGATAACTGCAGTGTAGTAACCATGATTCATTTTCATCAAAATTCTTAAATTAAAAAAATCTTGCACAACATCTTAACATGTTCACTCCATCTTATGGCCAAAAATGATACCACTGAAGATCGAACGCAAAGGTCCTTGAGGAATCAGTTCGATGGAGAATGGACAAAGGATACTTCTACGTCTATGTGACATAAAATTTTTAATCACGTTGATGAAGAACATCGTTGTTGAAAGCACTCAAGTCAACGCTTTTGGAAAACATGAATATACCAGACAGATACTTTTTCGATTTAAAGGTTTTTGGGATCTTTAAGTGAGCACCTCGGAATGTACAAGGTGTCTTCCAGGTAACACGTTATCTCCACAGACGTTGGGTCTGTTGCCACGCAGTTCATTACGTGCGTCACTTGGTACAATACCCAGAGAAAGAATTGTATTTCGGTCTATTTAGCGATATCTTCCGAACTGTGATGGCCAGCAAATGCACAAATCATGTTCACATAGCGCACACTTGTCGAACACGTAAACCTGTAGATTTCCGGAGACTTGAAAAGTAGGTCCAACAATATTAAGACTAGACTCGTTTGCTGCAATTACGAGGGTTCTAGAGATTATTGAAATCTCTTGAACCGACTTCAGGAGCAGTATGACAAACAAAACAAATATTGTACATTGCGAGTGACACCACCAAAACCCTCGCCTTTCATACTGCAATGAGGTTGCCATATCAGCCCCACTGAATCATGAAGTATATCACCCACATTCTCATATACTGTGCGTGCTAGAAGGCAGTACCAGCAGGTTTCCATATGCTTTCAATTTCTCCGATAGTGAGTTCTTTATATCCATGAATTTGTCGAACGGCACTCCCCTCGTGTGTGCAACAAGATAGTAAGTGAGAAGACGAAAATCATCATTCAGGAAGAGAACAATTTTACTCGACACACGGAAGTGAATGATTTCTGTAACACGAAAAAGCAAGTCCAATGCTGCATGCATAGAGTTGACACTTTTGTTCAAGCCCACCAGCAATTGTTGGTGGTGGTGATGACTTCTTATGAGATTATTGAGCACGTCATCTGCCGCTAATACAGAAGTCTTCACGCCACCGAGAGTTTGAGTAAGAAAGGAGGTGGTGCTGGTTGCTCTTCAGACGCACCAGTTGCAAAACCCAAGCTTTCATGGAAGATGAGCCAGTAGCAGTTTGTGACTCGGTGTCAAAGGATGTCCCTCGATCAAAAATTCCATGAATTGATTTTCTTGAACCCATGAACATGAATAGACTATGCTACAAAATCCACGCCTACATGCTACTCAAAGCTATGGATGGCATCCACAAAGTTCTCGAAGACGGGGATTCCAAAACTGGGAGAGTACACGAACAGCTCCATTGTGCTGGACATGAACCACACCCTGCCAGCAGCAGCCAGGCTGCCTGACGAGGTCCTCTGCGTAGACACATTATCCTATAGCTCGACTGACCAGATGGCGCTGCTCCTTCTTCCTCGTGGTCGGTGATGTTGAAGGAGGTCTCTCGGATATCAAGACAACTCGTCGTGATAGCAGCTGCACGTCTCTCTCGATCTGAGCCAGTCCTTCTTCCATCCTGTACAACATGGAAAGCATACGCCATTAAGATTCGTGGCCTATCGCTCACTTCAAGAGCAGAAGGAGCAATGTTTTGACATATCTTCGATTCCGGCATCAAACGGTATCATGTGGAATGTTGTGGAGAAAATCCACTCACAGGACTCGGAGATCAATGATACAAGAGATGGCGAGCTCCTTGTTATCACACTAGTGTTCTCATTATCCTTTGACCAGCTAGACTGACACTGTGATTCGACAAGAGTTCACGTCAGAGGACTTACCCTTCTCTCCTGAATTTCATTGACTCCGTGTCGATAGTGGAAGGATACGCTTGATAAGCTCTGTTCAGTTTCTCCCACTTCAATTTGAGCGCAATGATGAGTTCTTGCCTCTCATCTTCTTCGAGCCTGAAAGTCAGTCGCACATGAACCAGATTAATCGGCAGTGAAGGTACCACTCGATCCTCGTGGACCAGGGACAAGTAAGGAACCTCTTCTTCAGTGGCACACGAGAAACAAGAGATTTGTCGACACAGACGCGATGGTATGACTCACTTGCGACAATCCGGATGTTTGCACTTCTTGCCGGCCTCTCCGGATGGTGAGCTTGCCTCCTCGATCTTCTGCAGAGCATTCTTGATCCTCTTGAGAAGGTACCTCGGGGTTCTGCCGTTGTTCTTCTTCTTCACCATGGGCGGTGGAGGGTCCGGCACCACGGGAGGCTCTGTGTCCAAAAACAAATCCCTGATCAGCCGAGAGCTTTAGTGGCTAGCAGACGACATGCAGCAAGCAAGCCAGTCAGGACAGCGTGAGCACAATCTCCACGAGCAACGTACTGGACTTGATCGCAGTCTTTCCATTCTCTTCGATCCAGTTCTTCCCGCTGTTCAGACCATGAGTCTGCAACGGAGCCAAGCCATTTGCACGGTTCAGATCCATGGCCCAAATCCTGGAAGCGAATGCAGAAGTAGCTTAATTTCCTATCAAATTCACGAAATATGGTACCGGAGGTCCGAGCGGAACGAGGGCCTTGTATTTCTGGTGGGCCGAGCATCGGTCCACGCCTGTCGTTCGTCAGAAACCACACAAACCGGTCAGGCTTCGCAAATTGCAGTGACGGATTGGTAGAATGCAAATTCTTACACCCGGATTGAAAGATTTTTATCACATGATTTTGCACAGCGCAATATGTTCCACGTCTAGTGCGGATGAATTTGTGATTTCTTCGTGTGTTGGTCATTGTCTGCTAAGGCCAATGAATGCCACGGACGCAGAGGACGATGCTGGGCCCTAGTGCAGCGGAAATTGAAGGACAGATGGATCGGACCAGAGATCGATAGGCAGTGTTTGCAGTTCTGACTATGGAGGGGGACGCCCTTGAGGACAGGTCCGCCGACCGGTGAAGGTGTGCTCACCGCAGTGGGGAGATGGCTGCCTAAGGTGGTGCGAAATCATGGCAGGAACTTCAAACCGGGAAGTGGGCAGATCCGGGCTTGCCGTATGCGATTTTCGGCTCCTTCGAGTGCTTTTTCAACCAATTGTCAGTTCTTGGACACAAAGATCCCGGAACGTGCCCGAATGTTGCTCTGGGTCTCTGCCGGGCCTCCTCTTCGAGCCTGAGCATAAACTTGTAAATTTTCTCATCTTTCTGCACAAGTTTAAGCAATGTTCAAGAGACATGCCTCTTCGATCCGGGCCCTTGAGACGCCTCAACGACGATTGTAGGCTCTCTCTCACCTTCCCTGAACTTGACCTGGGTTTGGGGTTCTTTGCTAAATCGCAATTCTCGCTTTGTGCGCGCAGCTTTGTGTGTGAATTCCATCGAAACTAGAAAAGAAACAGGGTATCGCAGGAGGCGCTTTCGTATCACATTCAAAGCCGATTTTCTACAAGGGTGCAACCCGACTTGGGAGGCAATCGACTCGACTCGACGTCGTAGAAAATTGCAGAGGGCTTCTTGGTATGACCGACGGAGATGGCTGCTTTAGCATTGTGCTTCAAAAAGGCAAGGACAACCTCAACTTCTCCATTCCTCACGCGCTCTGAAGAATGTAAACATGAAGGGGAGGGGCGATGCGTTTGTGGAACAAAATACATTATTCAACTCACCTCCCACATCCGACATTCAATTGTGCAATTTCAGCGTGGAATCCCATCCGGGATGAAATTGTCAGACATGCATGATAAGGGGCAGCAAATGAGCCGAATTCTGACCTGGGAGCGGATGGGCGGAGTCTTAGGAGGCTGAACGACGACCTCAGGAATCAGACGGTAGATCGACTCATGTGATTCCCACATCGTGCCCGCCCCGCAATTCGACGGCCCTCAGAAAGAAAGCATGCGCGACGGATGACCTTCAGCCGAAAGGCGAATCGGGGCTGCCAGTGCAGCGAGGGTGCGCCTCCATCCCCGGCTGAACGGCCTCTTCGAAGTCAGCAGGCCTTTGATTCTCGTCCCCGTCCTCTCCCAGCGAGACCAAACCGAAGCCCTGCGGAGGATTTCCGTTTTACTCAAACCAATGCCCACAAAGTTTGGCAACAATGAGGGACCCAAACACGGCGGCCTTCCGTATCTCGAGCCATCTCGTACGTCCATGGCAATTGGTTCTACCGCTCACGAGTTGCTCCGGTCCAAGGCCTCCGGGTCCGTGGCAGTGTGAAGCCTGACGGATGGAGCTAGCTGAACTATACAAGCAATCCGTTTCGTTTTTCAGAGACTCGTGCATCACTCGAGGTCGAGTAGAGGTTTGCCACAGGTCTCTTCGAGATGGGCCGTAGTTGTGTTCAGACACTCTCGATGAGGTGTGAAACTGGGTGCTGGATCTCAGTCTGAAACGATTTAGCGCTAGAGCTGAAGCTTTTTATCTTCTCGCAGATATCTTCTGTCCACGAGCTGTTAATCAATCCTTCTCTTTGAGAATATGATACAGCTTTCAAACAACACGACTGTGACCTGGGCCCGAACCAAATTGACGGTTTTTCGTTTTCACATGTGGAGCTTGAAGCATCACGATGATGGTGAAGGCGATGAAGCCGAGAATGTTGATAACAGTGACAAATACTCGAAGCAAGCGCTATCTTGGAAAAAGTGCCAGACAAAGGTGTACTGAGACAGAGTACCGGATGACATTGGTCTCATGATTGAATTAGTGTAGCAGCGAATTCGTACAAAAATTTGAGTATTCTCGATGTTGGCCAATGAAGGCACATCCCTAAAGCCTGCATCCCGAGTTCCATCTATGTTATCATGTTTACCACCTTAGATCGGTGAAGAATGGTGGTCTTGTACTAGACAGCCTAATGAACCTACTTTTCCCGAGTCTTGTCTGCAACCTTTCCTCTTCCTTTACCTCTTTCCTTCTCCTTCTCCTTTTCTTTCTCACCCTCCTTCTCCTCACCATCCTCTCGCTCTTTGTTTCCACCCATAAGCTCATCCACACAAAAACAATATAGCTCTTGATGAAGTTGTTGCCACTGTTGTCCATTGTTCAATGCACGTCGCAACTCGGACCGCAATCGTTCCAATTCCATTTGCATGGCCGCAGTCGAGCCCCGTTGCTGACAATCGAAACAAGACGTCAGTTCATCCACCGCAGTACTAGCAGACTATTACGTCTCGAGTACTAGACAATTCTATGGTCCTGAGAAACAGCCAAATCTACCCAGAAATGCATTTGCTGCGCACGTCTGGTAGAGAAACCTTGGTAGACTACGGTCTTGCCGGAAGGGTCTAGTCTAGCACGTGGAGCTGGAGGACCTCGGCAAGATAGAGGGAACTTTTCATAAGAAGCCCCGAATCATGAAACGGTACGAAAAGTAATTCAGTCCAAACAAGGCTTAGATCGGGAAGTTTACCTCGAGCTCTTTGATCTGTCGCTCCATAGCTGCAAAGCTATACGAAAAGCCATCTGCATCTTCCTGCTCATTTGAAAAGAGCGAGGGCAGCACTACTAAAGGTCCTTCCCAAGGATTCGGGTCCTGCGAGACAGAATCTGAGATCACGTACTTACTCAGGGGAGCAACTGGTAGCAAGGGCATGCGCCGATTCATAGGGCGGCCTGCGTGGTCCGCGACAGACCCATGTTGCAGCATAGGCGGACGAGGTAACACCAGCAGGCTGCTTATAGGACCTGCAAATCTTCCAACATGCTCATGATCAGGGTAAAGGTGTGAATGATGCAGCCGTTAAATATTAGATCGCAAATCATGAAAGACGTCTGAAGTTCTTGAACAATCGCAGAGGTCGACAATTCTGCGAATAATAGTTTCTAACATTTCTCGAAGCCAAATAAATGTTCAATGGGTAGGTATACCTTTACTGTGGGTAAATGTTCTGAGGACCTGTCTGCTGACCGTGTCCCATAGCCGAGCGGTGCAGTCTTCAGATCCAGACACCAATGACACTCCATCCATACTGAATGCCAACGCTGTCACTGCTCGACTGCACCGACAAAGATTACAACATTGTTATGACTGCCCAAAGGCGATATCTCCTACGAGCCCTCTCCAACCGAGAAACAAGCTGACGTCAAACCTAGTTAGCAACGATGCAAAAGAGATAGTCAGTCACCTGTGACCGATTAGGGCAGCATCTGTCCCCAGAAGTCCATCAGCAAGTATGCCTGAAGTAGTAGGAACACCAAAGTTTAAGGCAGTAATGAAAATCCTGCCATCGGTACCCCCAGCATACAAAGCATACTCTCCTGGATCAAGGACGACTGTGTTCAGGGCTGTGGGGAACACTATGGATCGCAATAGTGTACCCAACGCCAGACTCCAGATCTGTGCCGCATACAAGGGGAGTGTTAATACCCCAATATAAACCTCCTTGACTCCTCACTGAAGATGTAAAGTATCTGAACTAGAAAATGACTTAAAGGTCCCAGTCTTCATCGAAACGAACTCCTAGAGATGTCATAAAATTGTCCAAACAACTCCTACGACACTCTTCTGTATCAGGTGTAACTGGCACAAGGTTGGTTCAGAGCGAGACCTTGCATGTATGGTCGAGAGAACAGGAGACAACAATTGCACTCGAGCCTCCTGAGCCGGCCAACAAGCCTGTGACTGGAAGTGTATGGTCCGACCAACCATACATGGATGTCAGCTGTGATTCGCCATGCGCTTCTTCTGCCACATCAAGAACTCTAGAAGGAAAGCACAAACAGAGGTAAGTCGCGAACAATATGACTTCCGCCGAGAACAATGAAAACTTGGTTCACATGATTCTGCACACATCTCAAAATCAACTCAGATCGAATTTCAATCGTTATATCGAAGACTACGGAATTCGCAGGGAATGGATGTGGCTTTTACCGGAGAAGGGGCCAGACGTTAACAATGCCATCGTCTGCCCCTGATATCAGGAGTGAATCGTCGTCTGAGAAGACCAGACAGCTTACAGCTTTGTAGTGGCCCGCCCAAACCCTCAGCAGCTTTCCACTTGCAACCTGCACGCGATTGATCAGATGGTTAAATTTCAGACTACTAATAGAGAAATCGCCCATCAAAGCCAGTTTAATAGCTCTCTTTTGAAATTTCCAGGAGGAAGTGTGAAGAGATGACATGCATGTCTCTCATGAATTTCTAACATTACTGACGAACACCACTTCAATCAGAGATTTAACAAGTCTTGGTCACAGCCGTCCAGTTACGTAAAAGTTATCACTTTGTCAATTCGCAATGACTTGCCAGGAATTTCCCACCCAGGATGTAGGAATGAACTTCAGAGACAATATACGTCACTCAGCACAACAGAGCCATTCACGAACACAAAACTTGACCTCATTCAACCCGACACCAGATAGGACACATGAGAAACCGCTCAGGAGCTACGGCTGAACTCTTTGGGAAATTGCGCTCTGGTCATTTCGGTAAAGTCGGTATTTATTTCTCGGTTCTGCTCAACTATGTGACTTTCATCTACATAAAGGACAGGAAACTACTCTCTGAGCTACAACACACGTTTAACAATTTATGTATATCAAAGCTTCACCGGACTGAGTTTGCTGAGCAACTTCCGATATTTCCAGGTACTCACCTCCCATAGGTAGATTCGGCCTGATATACCACCTCCGGCCAGATACGATCCCTCGCTCGTGCATGCTAAAGGCACGATGGGCTCGACGGGATAACTCTTGCAGGCAACTTGATTCTGTCCAAACAATTGTTCGACGGTTCGTCAAATTCGTTTAGCTACAAGGTGAAATAGGCCAGAACTCATAAAAGGGTACAACGAGTCTCCAATTGCTGGAGAACACAAAGTCACAAATTCGCCTGAACCCTAAAGCGAACTTCCCAAGGACTACTAAACGGAATCATGTGAATCGAAATGCAGCATCAACAAAAACATGTTGCGCAGAATTCTTCGACCATTTTCCTTGAAAAGTGGAATAGGAAGAATTGTAACACATGATTCAAAATTCAAACTTGCTTCCAAACTGTTCGAACCGCGTTTCGTCAACAAAACCCTACCTTGTTCCAGGCCCAAAAAAATATGGCACCTCCAGCGGAAGAGGACGAGGGCTTAAGAGACTGGGAAGCCGCAAGGAAGTGCGGACCGACAGGACAGAGCGCATTGCGAGGTGCAGCGCATGATCTCAGATGTGAGAGCAGTGCTCCCGATGCCGCATCCCACAATGTCACTCCCGCATCGACACTGGAGCAAACCACCACGGCTTCCCTCACGGTCGCCAGCTTGCCCCATCCACCTACGGCCCTCTGGCCGCCTCTGCGCTCGGATGTTTCCCCCACCCTCACAATTCCCGGCCATACACTGCAGAATCTCTCCTATCTCTCTTCTCCATCACCATCTCGGCCGCTCCCTTCCCGCCCGATGATCATCCACTCGGCACTCAAGCTCTCGCCTCGCTCCTGCTCCAACTCGCAACTGCAGAGCCCACCAGAATCCCCAAACGCTCGCTTCTTTCCCTGCCTCCCTGCCTCCCTGCCTCCCTCGCTCTCAACTGCACAGTCCGAAATTCGAAACGCCGATCTCCTTCTTTGCCTGCGCTCGCGATTTCCCCGCCGATCTTCCAGCAGGACGAGGCTCTGCGGCTCGCAAATCAACTCACTGCATCGACCGACTCGAGCGGAAGTCGCCGAGAGTAGAAGCACCAATCGGAAGGCCGTGCTTCTCGATTGTCGCAGGGGAGGGGAGGAGGGGGGGCTGCTGCCGCTGCTGCTGCAGAGGAAGCGGCCGCTCCCTTCGTTCTTCTTTGCTTCTCCGCGTCCACGTCCGTCTCTCTCTCCCCGCCCCCCTCCATGACAGAGGCCCGGACGGGGACGGAGAAACGGTGCGGTCGCCTCGAGCGTTAGTTTAAACCCTACTCTCAGAAAGGAGACGGGGGCGGGGCCGAAACTAATCCAACAACGACATTTCTTCCCATTCGCTCTTTGAATATAACCTTTTCGTTTTTCATTTTTCATTTACCGCCATCCATCCGAGTGACGATGACGGCTGCTCTCAACTGAATTTCGAGCCCCCTCCAGACCGCTTCGGACTCCCGTGAAGATCCTTTCTCGCCAGATTCTGTCTGATTCTCTAGATTCAGCTTTCCAGAGTACCGAGAGTTTTTTCCATTGCCCTGCCATTGGGCCCCTTCCCCTTCCCCCATTGCTTTCCCGATGGTAATGGTAAATGGTCTCGAATGACGACCTCGCACTCGCAAGCATATAAAATACTAGTTCATGAGTGGATTAGCTGACTAAAGCATTGTGGATGTTCTTCCGCTAGGAATGTAGCGAATGAAATTGCTACTAGATCTTCTTTTCATGATGAAGCCTTGAATGTATATTTCTATTAGTCGAAAAATATTGTATAAATGTGAATAACCTATTTTGCAAGTTTCTGAATGTGAGACATAAAAAATGTTGCAGGTTGGGGCTTTAGACATTTTCTAGACTATTCTTGTCTAATTTTCATTATCTATTTCTTAACAAAGCGCTGTATATAAGTGTTTAGGTTATTATCATTTTTCAGATAGATCTATGCACACGAATATATTTGAAGCTTATGTGACTATCTTGGTGCTAACTTTGGGTTTTGTTTGCAATGTTTATTTAGTCTTAAAACTGCATGAAGGTCAAAATATGTTGAATCGAAAATCAATAAATCCACTATAATATTGTCCATAATTTTAGTTTTAGACATGACACAAGATGATGTCAAATAATGGTGGCGAATATATTTTGGAGAAATTCCATAGTTATTGTACATAGGAGTAAATTAGACATTATTTCATGACAGTTTATACTTCACTACAAAATGTTGTTTCTGAAAGATTCAATTAAACAATATTAGAGAAGTAGCTGAATATGTTGAGCGAATTAAATTTAATCGAAGAAAATTTTGGGCCTAAGTTGTCAACACCGCAATGTATTTTGTAATTTTTTTTCCTTTTAATGCAATAAATTTTTCAACATCGTTTGAATTGAATCATAACCGTATGGCGGATTACAGTCGTTTGAAAATTTTTGGTTGTAAAACGTAAATCTCCACACCTAAGTAGCACATGACATTCGGTTTCCATGGATTTGAGAGTTGTTAAGCAGCATTTTTGTGAACACCCACTTACCAATTGAGGAGAGTTCTGAACAATTTTGATCTTTTTTGAATTATAGCTCCTTGCGATGATACTTTTCTTCTGAAAGTTTCTACAAACATGAAACTCTCTAAAGCTACAATTTTGAGAGATTGGGGAGTTGATAAACATAATTTTATTGCCGTGCTGACAAGTAGTCAATCGACTTTTCTTGATTAACAAGCGGGTTCCGGATTCGTTACAGTTGATAAGCAATGGTTTTTATTTTAAGTAATCTTTGTCTTTTTCTCTTTGTCAAACATACACACCCGTTCATTTGTTAACATCTGTAATGAAGGTGATAAAATAGATAAAAATAATGTCGTATTGACAGATGTTCCAGCGGCATTATTTCAACAAGGATGTGGTGTTACATCCCCTCCTTGCAGTGAGCAAAGTAGCGGTCGCGAACATATTAAGAAGACTCCATAGATGTTGGAAGGTCCTTAATATATTAAAAATGCTTCCTAAATGTTGGAAAACATAAGATAGGTCCGACACTGATGTGCAAAAGTGTTAAAATCAGTATGACTCTTTTGTGTGGAAGAGATTCAAAATCAATTTTGGACCGTCGTGCTTGGTCATTGTTCTTGACCTTGACCATTCTTTGGTACGTGTATCATATAGATTAATCAAAAGGCGCAAAGTTTTTTCCAGAGGCAAGGGAGTTCCCGAAAATTTCTTATGCAAGTACGAGGGAGTGTGCCAACAAACTTGGGGCAAATGGATAGCGGAGATTCGGGATCTGTCCAAAAAAAGTTGAATATAGTTGAGGATGTAAAACACCAAGTAGGAGGCAGTAGTGGCTTATGAACAAAAGTACCTATAATTTTCCGATCCTATTGTCCACTTCAATTTGCAAAGTTCTCGTGCAACTACTGTGTTGGAAACGTTCAACACCAAGTAGTAAGTTGCAGCCGCTTACAACAAAAAGTTTTTACAATTCACTGATCATAATGCTCACTTCAATTTGCAAACTTCTTACGCACCTATTATGTTGAGGACAATCAACACCAAGGAGGATGTTACATCCTCTTACGAAAAAAAGACTTTACAATATTCCAGTTCACTTCAATTTGCAAAATTCTCTTGCAATTCCTAAGTCCAATCCGAACACCATATTTATTCCACCGTTTTTTGTACGTCAACAAACTCTATTCTCAATAACATATCTATGTCGTAAAGTTTTTGAGATTTTTGCAAATTATTACATTGTTAACCTGGTTTTGTAATCATAGATTTTGTCGTTGTAATAAAGTTGGTTTGTAGACAATAATTATTGCATGACTCTACTATTATTATTATTTTGGATGTATATTCTTATATTTTTTGCTGATTTTTATGTGATATGTTATTGTATTATAACATGAACAATTGACACGTTGAGTACAATTTTAGTATAACTTTCAAGACATTGTACACTAATTTGAACGATTTTAGGATGGTTCAAGAGCTTTTCATGAATAACCAAGTGAAAAACATTGATGAACTTCCACCACTATAAGAATATAATCTTTTGATGAACTTTCACCACAAGACATTAATTGAGAAAATTTGAATAAGCAGTTAGATTTTGTCTTTGCATCACCGACTTCGTATCTATTCTAAACGAACTTCCATCGCTCAACACCAACTGCAAAATTGGACTAGCAATGAAATTTGATGGAGAAAGTAGGCCAAACCTCTCTCGCTCTATGATTTTTTGAATATTTTGACATGTTACTATGTTCCGATAGATATGAATTCGTCACCTTTGCCAATCTCTTTGATCTAGCTCTGGCTCTTAAGCAGATGAACGGTAAGTTTAAGGTTGTGTGCTGCGATGAACAAGACGAAGAAATTATTTGATATTTCAAGTGAACTTTTTGCGTCTTCTTCAATGTGAAGTTGTGAGTTTTTCTTTGTGTTTTGTCTACGCTCTCCATATTAATCTTGTGTGTGTGTGAAATTTTATTAAAACTCAAAAGAAAATACGTGGGTAATAGGCATATCAAACCAAGGAAAAGTAAGTGGAAGGAAAGATTAGATCATGAGGCATTTGACAAGCAAAAGGTAGTGCTAATCAAGTAATTTTAGATCTTTTTGGTCCCAAAAACATCAAGTCAAATGTTATAACTTTTTCAGTTATAACATTTGACTGAAAATGTTATAACTGAAAACATTTCAGTTATAAATTTTGGTTATAACAAAATTTATAACCAAAATAACAGTTTTGGTTTTGAACTTGTTTGATTTTGAGGTCTAGATCCGTGGCTGGCTCTAATCTAATGTTTTCTTTAACATAGAATTCAAAGAGGCAAAAACTCTCAAAGAAGAATATTCTCAATAAGTAGGGCCACACTCAAATTCATTTTCTTTTGTGGCTCTTTGTCCAAAATCATATTCTCCTGGCAGGATTAGAGTCCGCGTTCAACAAACAAAATGAAGAGTGCACGTTAGCTTGATAACTCTTTCAACCTTTTGTTTATACCTTTTTGTCGTCCGAACATTTTCCACACTACCTTACATGTTGGAGCTATGTTTGAAGGAATTCTTTCAAGTTCTGCAACCTCCGGACTTATTGACTCTCGAGGTGAACTCAAATGGCTTTGCAATAGCTCATCATGGTTCTAAAATACTATGATCCCTCCTCATACTCATAACTCAAACACCCTCTCACACAATCCTTCAATGTATCACTCCGATTCATTCACACATCGACATTCTAAGATACTGAAAATTATCACTCTTTCATATATGAAACAAGTCTCCACACATGAATTTTTCAAACTTACTTGAGAGTATCTTCACTACCTCTTCATATATAGCAAAAGGTAATTGTTATCTAACTTACTTTTACAAAGATAAACCATTGTAAATTTGACTAGTTATCCTTACGTGGTAACATGCCAATGGCTTCCTAAACTTTATAGATGTTTACTGGTTAGTAGATTGAGGCAGCGACATATTTGTGTCTTTATAACTTCTAGAACCTCCACTTGTCACTAAGTCAACATTAGATTTAGTTTAACCAATGAATTTCATATTACTTAGTCAAACCAATCAAAAGTATTTTCTCTTGGAATCTAGACTTTTGTACAAGACTAAATAGATATGCTCACTCAAATCTTCAAGAACTTTTCTAGTTATTTTGCCAAGTATAGATATTATAGCTAAGCATAATTATAACTTAAAAGACTTATTTACAACTAATTAGACTTAGTCATAACTAAGCTAATCATAATTAACTCCTTGACTACTTCTAGTTCTATTTCACACATACAACATCTGATGTTATAGTTAAGTGCTTGTACGTGACATGTTTTTGCTATGATTGTTGTTTCGATCCTTTGAAGTACTTAGTTGCGAGCATCAAATTAGTTTTATATCCAACTTTGGTAGAATGTTGTAATGTCGTTTTCTTGAATATGCTAGAGGAGTGAAAGGTTACAGACTATGAGATCGAGTTGGCCGCAAGGTGGTTGTTAATAGGAATGTTTCTTTCAATGAGCCTGACGTATTGAAAGAAGGAAAAGTTTTAGAGCTCCCCGTACTGACAAGGAAAAATCTTACTCATGAATGTTGTTGTGGGAGAGTTTGATCATTCTATCACTAATGATCTGTCACAAAAAGTAACATTATTGCATGTGAAGTGAGTTTTTGAGTAACAAAAACTAAGGAGCATATTATCGTTGAGTCTATTGCAATAGTATTAGACAATCGTCTGATACTATTGCAATTTGCTCACAATACGATACA